ACAATAAGAGAAAAGCTTGAAAACTATATTATATTTGAGATATTTATTGTTATAAATCACGTGGGTGATATGATTTATGTGTAACAATCTAGAATCCAAAAATTCAAAAGTCTGGCATGAAAAATTGAGTGTCACAAGGTAAGAAACTATAGATAAGGCTCGGGTACTGATAAGGGAACTGTGTATAATTGAAAAGTATAGAAAGTTTCGCAAAGCTTAGGGTTAGTATAGCCGATTATAAAGTAAATAGCCATTGTTAAATAGAAAAGTATAAATAGCTTACAAATGTATGCCGAAAAGGCAAAGCTGAATATGTTAGGAAAAACAATCCTCATTGAGAATAGAGATAAGAGTTAGTGATATACCAAAGAAAGAGAATGCAATAAAGTGATACTTATCTTTGGCCAAGTCAATCATCACACCTCTGCCTTCCCTAAGTGTTCTTTATAGGAGGTATTCTCTTCTTTATGTCATTTGTGAGTATTCTTGAGAAGCCTAGGTTATGCGAGGTGTCACAGATTAGTGATGAACTCACCGGAATAGTTCATGACATTACTAATAGCTCTCTAAATAATTTTAATGGAAAATATCACATGGGTCTGGACTGGATTATCATTATCTCAAATTTAAAGGAACATACTTTTCAAGAACAAGTAATAATACACCTATTTCCTATCAGAGAAGAAATCACAGTGATCTTCATAGCACTTAGTGTTTTATCTAAATACAGTTCAGCAATTTTATACACAGATAGTTAGGCAGCAATTAATGGTATTCTTAAGACCCAAAAGGGAAACCCAGAAAAAATTATAAAAAGACAAAAAAATTCAAACATCCTGCTTCAAATAACAAGTCTATGCAAATAGAATCAAATAAAACTCTTCCTATATAAAATAAAAAAATACTTAGAAATTGAATACAATGAACAAGCAAATTACTTGGCACAAATTGATAAATAGAAAGAAATGAGACTAGGCGAGAAAGTGATTAAGATCCTAAGAATACAACACAGTCCCTTAGATATAGTTCCTCGATGGAACAATATCTTTACAGAAATCCCTATAAAACTAATAACAAAAAAGCTTATACTGATAATTCATCTAACAAAATAAAGACTCATCAATTGAACAAGATATAATTATAATAAAAGAATAATATAAGAAACACACTAGCAAACAATCATTACCCTATTACAACCAATCAAAAAAGTAACCATTACACTGATTAGGAAGATAAAAAATTCAGAAAATTTTATCTTAGCATTTGAAACGATAAACTGCCATCCAAAAGCAAATTACATGTTAGAACCCCTTTTTATACAAGGACAACAAATGCCCCAAATGCCATAAATCAGAAATGAGCATATATCCATTCATTTGCAATCAACTCAGACCCAAAACTGAAGATTTCCTAATTAATATTGTAATTATCCATATCAAAAGATACACAACACAAGAGAAGGAGAAGAAGTTTAAGAGTAAATTCACAAGCAAAATGAACGGAAGATACAAAGAATACTTGATAGCAAGCATCAAAGGTGCCTTCTTCTTTGAACTAGTCTTCTATATCTAAATAGCCATTCCAAACAGACTGAACAGAAAGATCTGTCTCATTCAAATAATTATCAATATAATCAATTTCCTATACAAAACCTGGATGGAAAGATATAAAATATTCCAGAAGTGGAAGGTAATTATGGCCATCACAGAAAAAAAGGAGAAACAAACAAAATATGAGTCCAAAAAGAAAGATCTATATTTAACTCAAGGAAAAGACACATAAAAGATCAATATATTAATCTGGTCAATGACTTCATAAATCATTGGCTTATAAACATTATAGACCATTCCTTTATCTTTGAAATTTATTTCAGTACTAACCCATTCTTGGCAGATTAGCCTCCTTATAATGGATGGTAACAAGTCATGATGTGAGTATCCCCACAAATGAGAATCATCTATTGAGTTTTATTGGTAAAAAACAAGTAATAAGTTCTAGGATAGTTTCACTATGTAATTTTACTGCAAACATATAAATAAAACAAGGCTGAGTCAGCATTTAAAAAAAAAATTTTTTTCAGTTAATAAAAACTTAAAATCTATTATAAGTTATTTTTGTTTGAATGCAAATGAATATGGTATATAAAACTGATTATATTATTGAATCAAAAAATTTTTATTTGATTATAATAAAGGTTTTAATATTTTTCAATTATTTTTATTATTGAAATTATTTATTCTTAATATTTATATAGATTTTTTCAGTTCTAATAAATAGATAAAGATATGTTTTATAAGTATAAAAATAAGCAAAATAGATAAAAAGCTTTTTATAACTTGTGAGTTTTTAATTCTGATTTATGGTTTGTAAAAGAATCATAAATTATTAAATTTTTCATATGACTCATCTTTCAAAATAGTTTTTAAAGTTGTCGGTGATACTTATAATTCTTATTGTAGTAAAAATATTAGTTGAAAAATAAAGTTAGAATAAAAAAACACCAAAAAGCTTAACTTATTTTTGGAAAATTTGTACCTTCTCAAATAAGTAGTATATAATTGAAGCTGATATTATCTTTAAGATTGAATTGTAACTTCACCATAGATTTTAAGGTGCCTTCTTGATTATAGGTTCTATCAAATCTTTAAAAAATAGTTCTCTAGGTGACTTTTAAAAATAAAGTAATATTAAGAAAGTTAATCTCTAAAATCATTCATTTCTACTTTAGAAAAAAGAAACTGTAAAAGAAATTGCTCCTTCTTCTCTTTTAAAGATGAAAAGAGATAGTATTTCAATGTATAATTTGTAGGTATTGACTTTCTCCTTGATATTTATTTTCAACCAATGATTGATAGAAAAGAAAATCTAAGTCTTTGTTCAACAGCTCTTTGATGTTTGTTATATTTGAAAATTTTTTCAATGCTAGACAATTTTTACACTAGCTTTTTTGTCTTTTTAGAAGGTGATCCAGTCACGAGGTGAAGTGCTTCCTTAGAAAATCTTCTACTGTTTACTTTATTTGTCAGAATATCTGAATGTACAGTTTTAGGAATTTTTCCTTTTTGTTACTTTGAGTTTCATTAAATTATTGGCTTTGCCAGCATTTAAAAAAAATTATTTATAGTGAAAATGTATTATAATTTGTTACTTTGAATGAATAAATTAAATTATATACACATTCATCATATTTAAAAAAAAAAAGAATATTAAAACGTATTGCTTTTTATTTTATTTATTTATTTTGATCATTTTAATGTTAGATTATAAAATTCTTGAAGTTAGTAAAAAACTATTGGTTCGCAATATATAAAGTTTTTAAGCGCTAGGGTAAGCGACTTTTCCAATCAGGTAATCGACCAGTACGTACCCGAAAAATTGATCGTTGCCGTTTTCGATCAACGTATTGATAAAAATAAAGGGATACGATATTTCATCGTCATTGCTAATAATTAGCGTCGTTATTGTTGTTAGATTAACAATGACGCCCATATTAGATATACACAGTCGTCATGGGTAATCCGAATTGCAAATGTAACTTAACATGGTCACAAAGTCTTCAGAAGAGGCATAATTAATATTCAAGATGGTTGCAACGGGAGTACTTGTATTCATGAGGAAGGAGTCATCGAACTCGCCTGTTTGGATCTTGCGGTAAACATTGGTTAACAATGGGAACTGGTTTTTTGAGAAAAGGTACACTGCATCTTGAAATTTACACAACCGATTTTCTAATTACGTGCTTGCCAGAACTTGGGGCACAATGATCTTCGTTTTAAGTTATCTCTATTAAAGGTCAGAAATGTGCAAATGTCATTTATAAAAAGTATGTAACATGTCGCAAATTATTTGGATATTGACAAAAAGAAAATTTGAGTTTACGAGTGGTTTACGTTTCTGATTAAGGAATAAATGTTATGCATCTCCTCGTGTTTTATACAAACCATGCATGTATGCTTCAAATGACCGAATTTTCGGATACACGACTAACCGCGACGTGCTAATATTAAATATAGGAGTGAAGTTACTTTGTTTTCTATATGTGAAACATAATAAATTAAAAATCATGTGAAAGCAAATATGTTTATCTTTTGACAATAACGAAGGAAGTGGAATTATGCGCGTGTGAATTTTTTAGGCTGTTGCGCAAAATTTAAAGTTTATTTGCGCTGATTTAACCTGATAACAAAACATATTTTATTGTTTAAGTTATTGGGCTCCAATGATTCGCAGGAACCTTTCCACTTTTGTCTTGTCCGATAGTCAGCTTTGCCCAGAATTTGCTTCTAATACATAATCTATCTATGATAAGAGATCTCACCACCGTGTCAACAATCAAGTGTTGTTTCATTCTCTATTTTCACATCCAATAGAAAGTTTTGATAGTGTGACCAATAATTTATGCACAATCAATTTCGATGAAAAAATAATATTTAAAATTCTTCTTTCATTTGTTACGTATCAAAAAAAAAAAAAAAAAAAAAAAAAAAAAAAAAAAAAAAAAAAAAAAAAAAAAAAAAATAATAAAAAAAAAAAAAAAAAAAAAAAAAAAAAAAAAAAAAAAAAAAAAAAAAAAAAAAAAAAAAAAAAAAAAAAAAAAAATGTTTTACCAAATCTACGAAGGTTAATAAAATCAATATAATTGGGATGCGAATATCAAGACGTGTTTTTTGTGTTTCATCGTAAAACGGTGGACTAGTTCACATGTTCACATCAAATAACAATACTACTATCTTATTCGCTGATAATCTTAAAACATAATAAAATGGATTTCTTTTTTGATGCAAGGCGCTGCATGTATCGAGAAAAAATTGGTCAATGAAATGAAGGTCGTTATTTACTTTATTTATTATCTTAATTATTATCTGTTTTGTTCAAAGAAATTAATTTCATCGTGCCAATAACGACAGAAAAATCTTCATCCTTGGTCTCACGTATTCTATGTGAGACTTACCCTTTTAACGATGATCAATCGAAAACTCACCAATGACTATCGCATTAGAATGAAAACGATTCACAAAATTAGGATTACGGCTAGTTTAGGTAATATTGCTGAAATAAAGTTATTCACGATACATGATTAGTTAATTTTGAATTCTTTGATGCGGGAAATTATTTTGTCACCTTTAGAACTTAATTACATCATTTCAGGATTTTTTTCGCTGCAACCGACCATAAGTGATTAAAAAAAAAAAAAAAAAGAATGGTCATCGCATATGTTTTGATTGATGGCTTTTTAAAAACATTCCCGCAAGTATGCAAGGAAAATCCTCTCAGGATATAGCCAGGCCCGCTTGTAGACGATATTTTCGAGACAAGGTTCGCGAAATCGTTAGACGTCGTTGTGATCGCAGAAATATTGGTCTTCGGGATTGTCGCTGTCGAATATTCGGACACAAATTTGTTTTGTCGACGGGTTCATTGAAAGATGATTCAAATAAGATCCTATAATGGGAAAAGAGTATGCTTTTGTCTTCGAACGCTTGTCGCTAATAGACCTCTTGCCTTCCGGAATTATTATAGAGATACTAATATTGTTTGGTACGAGCAAATAAGTAAGTAAGAATACAGAAATCAATCTTCTAACGTTACAATAATTTCTTTTTTGACTTTTTGAGCGGTAACAAGAAGATGAATTCGATTACGTTCTTCTTTATTTCTTGAGATATTTCTTTAGATAATTTATTATTACTGTGTAAGTAAACTGTCTATTCAATTTTGGTTTCGGGGAATCCGATTAAATCCGATTTTTTCTTTGAAATGGAACATAAGTACCTCAATCCGTTATTTTTGTGACTCTTCTTTATTTCCTTGCTAACAGGTTGCCGATGTTTATGTTTATTTGATCACTTTCTCCAATGAATTATGTACGTACGGTGCATAATCATGAGTTAGAAATCGTGGCTCAATATTGAAATTTTGATGATTGATCATAAATCGTTACATGGGTAGAGATCGTCAGAAAAACAGTAATTAAAATAGAAAAGATCATCCCTGTAATCCATGTGATGGGAAAATTTATTTTATAGCCACGATTATAAAAAGCTTCGATCTAAACCTTTTTCTTTATTATTTTTTTTTTTTTTTAAAAAAATTACGATTTCTTTTCTTAAAAAAATGAATACACATTTACCTTTATACCAGCAGTACGACAGAGAGTATGACGTCTTTCCTTCATCACGATCCCAGTCACGCGAAAATAACGCCGCATTAATTTACTCACTCACAGGACAAATTAATTACCCGCACGTCCCTTATTTTCGATCTCACACGGTTGTACCGAATCTTCAACACATCACTACCGAATATCTCGATGATATTATAAACTCTGTCCTAACGAACGACGAAAGGAATAAGTACGAGTCAAAGCTTTTTCTTCCGCTCTACGACCTCATATTTCCTAGTAGTCGTCCGAGACGTACTACGAAACGTTATCAAAATAGTTTTATAATCTTTCGAAAAGATTACCAGGCAAGGGTGATAGCGGAGTGTGGTCCAAAAATAGGGTCAAAACTTAAAGAGATCTCTCAAAGGGCGAGTCTAATGTGGGGAAAATGTTCTCCAGAGGACAGATATATGTACGATCAGATTGCAATGTGCACTAAAAAATTGCACAATAAATTGTGGCCAGATCATAATGTTTATAAATCCACGCGAAAACATAATGGTCACTATGGTAATTACGGTTATGGAGAAATTACCAAAGGATGCTCGGCAATGTTTTTCAAAAAGCAACCGAATAATTTTCCCTCCGTGAATAACGACAGTTCGCACTGCGCGAGTAGAATTCCTGAAAATCAAAATTTCATTCAAATGTTCAGCGAACCAACTTCTAACATGACTTCAAATGTAAATTCTCGTAACGATACCATCAAATCAATAGAACGCAATCTGTCTATGTCACAATTGAAAGTTAATTGCCTATCTTCCTATGACAGGTTGCTAGTTGACTCGGTTAACAGAAATGTTAGAATCTAAGCGTATAAAGTAAAAAAGTGATTTGCGTCGAGATCGACATTCACATTTTTTATATTTTCCTTTTTAACACATCAATATATCGTAAGTAGCGGTGAATAGTACTCCCCTGTCGGAAACCTCCTGCTATTTTAGTGGTGCATATTACATAAAAATTTTTTTTTTTTTTTTTTTTTTTTTTTTTTTTTTTTTTTTTTTTTTTTTTTTTTTTTTTTTTTTTTTTTTTTTT